TTTTTTAAATTTAAATTTTTTAATTTAAAAATTGTATATTTCTTTTACTTTAGTTAGAAACTTACTGCATTTTTTCACGTTCTTCTTCTTCAAGTTCCCTTTTTGATTTTTCTTTCTTTTTCTCAGCTACTTTTTGAGTAGTTTGCGAAACTTGAGGTAAAATGATGTCAGAATCATTTTCATGCTTTATTTCGTTTTTAATTTGTGTAAGTGGAGGATCCATTAAAAAAGGTTCGTCTTTATATTCCACGGTTTTACCTTCATTCTTGGCATTTTCATTTGTAGAACAAGATATTTCTATATCCTCCGTTTCATCAGCTATATCAGAATCGGAGTTGTTCGAATGAATTTCAAACTTAACAGGGTTGGTATCCACTTCCTTTTTCAATATATTATCCATAAGTTCTTCTATAGAATACTACTATGTAACTTCAATGGTCCTGGTTTGTTTTGCACTGTTGGTTAGATTGATTTAAAATACTTTGGTAATCAATTAATTTAAATTTACTACATACCCTTAATAATATTTAATATTATGACACCATGGAAAGAACAAAAATAAATAATTATGTGTAAACTCGTTATTGAATATTACAGAAGTGCACGATTCGACCTTGACTACGGCAAGCGACACAATTTTTAGTGCACTCCAACGGCTATTTCTAAAAGTTTCTGCTTCAGGAATGTTCTAATGGTGGCACTAGCATACAAAGTCTAGTCAATAAATCACGTTTCGAGTTTTGACAATATTATTTTGTTTAATCGCGAAAACAATCGTGAAATGTACAATGAAGTACAAAATATGAATTAACTGTGATGTGAATATATTAAACGGCTCGATATTTTGTGCGAATCGTGTCGAACGACTTACAGCTTCATTGTTCGTGCAAGTGTGTAGGTATTCGAATGGATAGTTAGTACAAAATTCATGTGTTTGTATTGTATTTGTTATCGTTTACAGTGAAAAGATAAAATTGCTATTGTGCCGGATTTACCTACAGTAGAATTTGACACCTAAGGTTAGTTATTTCAGGTTTTAATTATAATTCATTTTAAGCATTTTTTCATTCTAATTGTAAGCTCATAGCTCAATTCCCTAAATAATCAACAGCTGTTCTAACAGAGAACGATTTATTTTGGACGGTGTCGCTAACTAACTAACTGGCAACAAAAATACATTATGTATATGAAATGCTGTTCTTGGAATAGTTATTTGCACTTTGTCGGGATTTTTTATTGAAATTTTCGTATTCGTTTGCAGTTCTTCAGCACATTCTTTTTTGCTTTTTTTTCTCGTTTGGAAACTATTGGTACCAGCGTTGCCTTTCTTCTGTAACAGGTCAGAAACGTCAATACGGTTAATAAATTGTTTTATGGAGCATTGACCAACACAAACACCATATGAAACCATACCTTGCCAAAGAAATGTACATATATTTTCTTCATAGCAGTACGTCGATGATAGTTTTGCAGAGTGTTCTTTTGATAGCTTGCTGTTTAAGTTTATAGCTAGATGTTTTAAGTACTTAACAAACCAAACAAATTGATGAAGGTATGTGCATTAAAATAAACAAAAAAGTTGCTTAACCGGTCTAGTGATTTAGGGAGAACGGTGCATTAGTTTGTGGGAGGCCTAAATTTAAAAATAAAGACGATTGTCGTTTTTGCAGAGATGTAATCCAATAGGATTTAAGTTTTTTATATTCCTTTGAACTCTAAGGCGGTTACAGTAGTGTATATATTTTCCCTTTTTTTTCAGATTACACAAGTTCAAAGTGTCTAGTGAATGGGGCACTTGCCCCAAGTCTTTTGCACTGGCTCCCACCTCATTTACCACCATTACCCCGCTAAACACAGAAGGTAAGTTTTTTTACTTTTTCAATGATATAAAACAATTGGCAACTCTGACGACTTTCACACTCCATCTCTTGATATTTTATGGCGCTTTACGACTAAGTTTGAGATGGCGCTGGAAAGCTTATTTCATACAGGGCGTTTATATTAACTTTTACGCCAAGTAGAACAGCTTTTATAGTTGGTCTGTTTAAAAACACGTAACCCGTAAAGTTTTCGAAGCGTTGAATTAGCAATTCGCTACTTTCATTGCTTCGGTGATTTTTTAACGGTTGGTTGCACTATCAGAACAACGTACCTATTCCTTGATTTATTTTTATCTACGTTAATTAAAAGTACAGATCGTATTTTGTTATTTATTTGAAATCATTATAATGGTTTGGGAAAGTGAAATTAAAATAATGTATTGTAGATAAGTAGGTACTTATTTATTGTTAAAAAGGAAATACATGTTGGGATTGTTTAGACGGAACACCTTGTATATTGTTAATACAAACACCCTTATGACGTATTGTATGTACCTACATATATTATTATTACTGGGCCATTGTCTAGGTGAAAGTTAATGGTGCATTATTTGATATACCATAGAGGAAACGCATTGACCCTTTTGAATTTCAGCTTTCACCCCTTAAATAGATATAAGCAGTAATTATTAACGTGATTGTTTCTTGTTGCTTTTGTTTTATTTTTATTATCGTTCTGGAAACGCAACATGTTATGATGAAAGAACGCTTAATATGATAATAAGATAAAATTAAGAAATTTTTAATATTCTAGAGCACATTCGCATTACAAAAATTAATTGATTTTTAAAACCTTGTTTATTACTGATCAGTGTATTAATCCTTGTGATCAGCATAAAGGGTCTGTATTTAAACAGTGACTCATAGTAAGGTTGGGGTAGGTGTTTTCAAATGTTTGTAAATTAACATAGAATTATCCTTACACTAAATAATACTAAGATTACAATTGTAATTAACACATAAAAGTTATTTTAAATATATGTTTTGGATGACTGGCTACGACTAATTTTAGAGGTGGTTAAAACTAAGTGTTTAAATAATTGTAAGTAGAACGAGAAAAAGCTTTTGTCATAAAAGGTAGTGAATATCACGAAAATTATTTTTCATGCATGTCGGTGCTCTTGTTCGATAAAAGTTATACCCTCTTCTTAGTCATAAAGTAAATTAACATAGGAAAATCAAATATGTTCCACTTTTCCATTCGCGAGGTGATTTTTTGTAGATGACACACCGTTTAAGGGAATGTATGTTTACTAGAGTAAATACATTGATGCATAACGATTCTTACGATTAGGTCTAAATAGTGAGTCACCATCAGCACGTCCTTATTAGAAAGGAAAACGAAGAACACTTACGATTAAATGAGCTGGTTTAAAAACGATCTTTTAATCATGAAAGTTTATATTTTACATTATGTTTGGGTCTTGCAAGATCAGTTAAATAGTTTTCGGCACACTATCAGTTAGCTGCTGTAATTCATGGAAAGTCATTATCATTATTAGTATCACTGGTAGTCGCGTGCTCTCTGAGTGGCACGTAGCGCGTGATTAAAGACAACATTGTTACCAAAGAATTCTCTATTGTTGTGCTGTAACAATTGAACTTTATTGAGATTGCGCTGTTGTTTCCCAATGGCAGTATCTTTTGCGCATGCGACGCGTCATTGTTGTCACCGAGTGCAAGTGATGGTGCAGTGCGCTCAGCGCTCACCGTTGTTTCGCTTAGTAAGTGCTACTTGTTGGTTTGTATCGGACAGTGGTCGTTGCGAATTTTTGTCGAAACGCACGCAACAAGTGCTATTTGTTTGGCGCGTGCTGTACGAATAATAAAATAAATTAATACGTCGTGATTACCGAGATAATTAATTGGAATAGGGATTTATTATTTGTTGTAAAGCGTTCGTGTAACATTTTAAATAATGTAAAATAGTGAAAGTGTTATTGGTGGTCTTTCAAATGTTCCACGCTAAGTGCTAGAAGTGTCGCATGTTGTAATATGCAACAAAAGGTGCGGTTTCAAAGGGCACAAAGTAAAGGATATGTTTCCTCGTAATTTTTAATAATGATAAATAAGATTTTGTTGTACCATTTTTGTGTACTTATTTTACCAATTGAACTGTGAGAACAGTTTTGCGGAGTTCTCAATAAAAGGCAAACGTAACCTTTATCGTCGTTTTTACTTATAAACAATTAGTTGGTCTTAGTTTGTTGTTTCACGACAGATTATAAAAATAAACGAATATTATAGAGAATAGAGCTAATATATAATTTCCAATTACGTTATGTTAATTGCTCATATGTTACCAACCGACTTAAACAAAAGGAGGTTCTCGATTAATTGATTTTTTATGTGTAGGTAATTTTAATTATACTTTTTTTTATTGGATAGGGATACCTACTCGTTTTAAATTTCTTAATTGAAATTTGTACCCATAAGAAAAGCATTGAAGTCGTTTTTCGTACTTCAGTAGAATATTTAATTTAAATTATGCTGTTTGGTAATGAAAAAAGGGTAAAAACAGTACCTGCCTATTTAAATATTCACTTTAGTAAAAAGTAGGTATAATTTTGTTATTAAATAATTAAAGTAACAAAACTGTTAATTGATTTTAACTTTACAGTTATATATAATGTACTACTTATATTAACAAAATTGCTATGTGATTATCCATACATATAGGTCATATATGTAGATATATTACATCGACTTTTCTATAAAATGTGAAAAAAATTATTTCCAAATGGAACTATTGTACCAAGAACTAAGACCACAAAATTGTTTGTAGATGATACCTGTAGAGAGATAGAGACTGGTATTAAAAAACAATTCAATTTTCAGAAGTTACCAGCTATATAGAGTGGGAAAATGTGAGCCTTGCGTTATTTGAAACATTAAATAATTAATTGGTGTAACATCGTTAGTACAGTACAGTGTATTAATTAAAGATTAAAGACAAGAAAAACATATTATCTATATCTCCCAATAAAGTAGAGAATGTAAATAACGTGAGTGTGCCTGTAGTGTTTTGTAATCATTTCAACATTATTGACGCGTCCTCGGCGTCGATAATAAACAGTGGACGTCGTACCCCTTTGTATGTCTCCATACAGTCGTTACCGACCGCTGTGCGGTTCGGACACAATGACCGTCTTACAGGCACCTGGGGGCGGTTGTCGACCTGCTGCCAGTGCCACGGCCGCATGTCGATTTTTGCGATGGATCTCGAAATTAGGACCGCAAACCGGGCATAAGCCGGGTGAGTAAACCTTACCGTAATAAACCGTAACAAGAACTCGCTAGAAGACACCAAACTAGCACGACCTATTTGTTTTTTGTTTCTTATTTGAAAAGTGTTTTATAATTTGTCGTTAACTTGTTACCAAATCCAAAAATGTGTCACCCCAGCTGGTTACTAGAAAAAAGCCGAAATGCTATTTGGATAACAAGCTGTAAAGATGGTATTTTCACCCATTTTATCGTTAGACTATCCAGCTAAAAACAACTGGAGAGCCTTACTGTATCTCGAAATAGAAAAGACGTAGGGGAGACTGTAAGGGCAATAATTTGTAGCTGCTTTGTCACTGAAAGATTGTTTTTGCCACGTTTGTCGTTAGCTTATCCTTCTAGCAAAAAAGGACTAAAGAACTGTAAAAAGGCGTAGAGAAGTACTATAAACGCTATAAACTGTAGCTGATTTGTCGCTGAAAGATAATAGTTTTAAGTATCCATTTTGTCGTTAATGTATCCTCCAACTGTCCGGCGAAAAACTGGTAGAGAGCCGTCAAGGTGGCACTACATGTGCCAGTATCTCAAAATAGAAAAGTCGTAGGGAAGTACTGTAAGGACTACAATTTGTAATTTCACCAATTTTATCGTTAGCCCATCCTTCAGATGTCTAGACAGAATAGGGGTAACGTAACCCGAAGTAGAAAATGCATATAGAAATACTGTGAGAGCTACAATTCGTAGCTGATTTGTCGCTTCAAGATGGTACTTTTACTTATTTTGTCGCTAGTGTATTCCTCAGCGAAAAACTGCTAGAGATCCGCCAAGCTGGCACTACATGTAGCGTATCTCGAAATAGAAAAGTCGTACGGAAATATTGTAAGGACCATAATTTTTAGCTGATTTGTCGCTGAAAGATGGTAGTTTTATCAATTTTATCGTTAGCCTATCCTTCAGATGTCCAGCGAAAAACGACAGAATAGCGGTAACGTAACCCGAAATAGAAATACTATAAGAGCTATATTTCATAGCTGATTTGTCGCTGAAAGATGGTAGTTTTAATTTTATCGTTAGCCTATCCTTCAGATGTCCAGCGAAAAACGACAGAATAGCGGTAACGTAACCCGAAATAGAAATACTATAAGAGCTATATTTCATAGCTGATTTGTCGCTGAAAGATGGTAGTTTTAGCTATTTTATCGCTAGTGTATTCCTCAGCGAAAAACTGCTAGAGATCCGCCAAGCTGGCACTACATGTAGCGTATCTCGAAATAGAAAAGTCGTAGGGAAATATTGTAAGGACTATAATTTTTAGCTGATTTATCTCTGAAAGATGGTAATTTTACCATTTTTATCGTTAGCCTATCCTTCAGATGTCCAGCGAAAAACGACAGAATAGCTGTATTGTAACCCGAAATAGAAATACTAAAAGAGCTATAATTCGTAGCTGATTTGTCGTTGAAAGATTGTTCTTTTACCTATTTTATCGCTAGTGTATTCCCCAGCATACCAGCGAAAAACAACTGGGCAGCTGCTAAGCTAGCACTACACGTGGTGTATCTTCAAATGGAATAGATTGTACATAAATACAGTCAGGACTATAATTTGTAGCTAATTGTCGCTGAAAGATGAAATTTTGTCCAATGAATAAACGATTACAAAGCTGCTAAACTGGCGCTACACATAGCGTATCTCCAAATAAAAATTAAGAAAAGAAAACGATGGGGGGGGGGCTTCAAGCTTGCACCACATGGAGCGTATATCACAAAATAGAAATGTCGTAGAAAAATACTGCAAGGAATTTGTTAGGTTAGTATTTCGTCTAGTTTTCTAGTAACCGGCTGGATTGATAAATTTCTGGATTTGTTAACAAACTAGTGACAAATTATAGTGCATTTTAGAAAAAACAAGTTTATAGTTCTATCTTGAAATTCGTACCTTTCGTAAAATGTACAAGAATTACGTAGTATGTATTACGTCACGGCGAATATTATATAGTAAGTAATACATTTAATGCGGAGAATAATGAATTAATAAAAAAGGTACCTAATCGTTTTTTGGTGTCCTAATGTTTTTTTGATAACAAAACCTGTGGCTTTTAAATAATAACAATATAATTATACGTGTAATAACAATATTATGTATCATAAATAACCTTACGAGGTTGCGCAAGTTCTATGTTAAATATTTAACCGCAATGTTTGCGCTCTCTGCGTATCAGACGGGGAGTAGATACCTAGTTTTATTTATGTGATGTAATATTACGATTAAGTTTACGTAATAAGAGATGAATATTACTAGATATAACACAATTAAGTGTATCATAAGACGGTTTTATTTTCCCGAGCGAGATCGTGTTTTTAAACGTAAACTTCGCGCTAAAAAGTACTTAAAATACTTTTTTGACCCGTTGAAGTCGGACCTGGATACACAGAATTGTGACCTATTCACCTGTTCATATATAATTCATAAATAGGGCATTTATTTTGTAGAATTATTGATAGTCGTGTTCTCAAATCGGATGGTACAGTAGTAGGTGCGGAGTGTGATTACTTTTTTCGTAAAAAATTCCTTAATACAACCCTGTTCTTTTCCACGGATATCGGGATAAAATGAGGCCAACATTACTTAAAATAACCGCTGTAAATTAGCACTATTTATATCGATGTACGGCAATATAACATTTAAACTATTACTGCATCTGCTTACGAATAAATTGGTTTTAGTGTTTTCTATAACTATTTGATATAACATGAGAGATACATGATTATATACAACTATTGAAAATTAATAAATTATAAATTTTATACATAATGATTAATATCTTACAATTAACCGAATGGTTCTGTAGGAAGTTGCCAAGGTTTGTACATAGTTCTTAGAGTTACAAAACACGAAATGGTTATTTAGTCATTTTACTTTAACTAGTATAATTGCCCCCCATACGCAATCGGCATTCGAATCGGTTCCTGGTTATTCGAGTTGCGATCGACACTACTTACATAGCTTTCTTTATTGTAATTATTTCGTTATTACCCAAGTAACACAAATAAAATCATGTCAGCGTGCTTCACTGCACGCGTGTGCATCATCACATAGTGTTACAAATAGTAATATGATTATGATTGCAGAATATAAAATCCTCGAAATTTGACAGGGTAATTTATCATAAAGCATTCGCCTTTTTTAAATTGAAAAGCTGATTTTTTCTGGCAAGTATACACACATATACCAGTCAAATCGTAATCTTTTTTAATCCGGGATATTAAACAAGGTAGAAAAACACTTGAAATGTGACAGAATAGAGAGATATTTTCCAGAAACCTGAGTATCTAAACATGATTACAGTTAAGTCCATAATTAGAGAATTATGTAAAACGTATTGTCTTTGTCAGGATTACATTGAAAGTAATTCCCGCACTGATTACGTATTTGTCTTAATAATATTGCTTCTGTATTTTTTATTTTCTTCAGAAAGTTACAAAACGAGGCAATAAGTTTTTATTTATTTTACTTCAAATTTGTATTAAAAGAGCTCTGTGAACCTGGCGCCACAATGTCCCAAAAGTGAATTTAGAAAATGCCAAGATTAGGGGCTTTTTAGGGGCTAATTTTGTGCCAAGGTTACAAATTAGGGGCTTAGAAAATATATAGATATTCAAGATTCAATAATGGTGTGCTAGCTTAAAGTGAAGTAAAATGCTTATCGACTATAGATCTGAATCCACCCTAGAACGAAAAATTAGCATAAAACGGGTACCTGAGCATAAAAAGAGCAGGGAATCAATGATGAATCAATTTATGCTCAGGTACCCG